AAAAAAAAAAAAAAAAAAAAAAAAGATTTTTATAGGAGTTATATGTAGAACAAAATGCATAGCAGTCTATAAAAAATGCTTTTTTCGAAGTATGCCTAGGGTAGTTTTTGCCTGCAAAGTCAGGAGGCCTGAGCGGTAGTGCCCATTTTCACAAATTCATAGTCTGGTTTGGCCGAATTACTTATGCTGTCCAGGCCTGTTTCTCCAGTGGGAAAAGAAGAGATGCGACCAGACTGTTTCCAAGGTTCCCTCCCACATCAAGAGTGCATGAGCTCAATAAACTCCCTTCTATCCGAACAACCACAACGAGAAAGCTAGAGACCTACAGGGGCGGCACTCAAACGGAAATAAGCAGGTAAGCAAGAACCGTAGAGAGGAAACAGGGCAAGTTCCATAAGAAATGTGACCCTAAAACTGAGCCCCGAGAGAAGATTGAGACCGTTTAAGTGTGAAGCTCAGCGGAAGTTGGGATCCAAACAGGACGCGCTCGTACCAGACACCTGGATGGATCCCGAAGTATTCCTCGCTGTGGGACTTAAACTACACAACGTCAGTTCGGAGCCTCGCACCCCCATTTGTAAACTGGGCGCTGGGATCCAGGGGTAACCTACGCACGTTAGTTTACGTCTCCAGGACAAAGCGGGGCTGCCGACTCCCAAATCTCGGTTTACCTCAAATGATGACTCCAACTCGTCGACCAGCGTACTGTTAGAACTCCTCGGTGCGCCCGGCGTTGCTTGAAGAAGCGAGGCCTGGCCCGGATGTCCCGACGGGGCACCCGGGGGCCCTGGGGGCTGCCCAGAGAACATGCCGCCCAGCGGAGCCGCCATGTCTGGAGTGCAGGAGAGGCCCACTGCGCCTGCGCGGAAGCCGACCAGGTCACGTGATGAGCGTCGTCTCTGAGCGGCGTAGGGCTCCGGGAAACCGAACTGCTGGCGCTGCAGTACCTCGCGGGAGTCAGAATACTCTGTTGCTGCGAACTCCTGCCGTAAAGGCTTTGATACATTTTGGCCGTCACTTTCTTCTCTCCGTGCTCAAGTCTGCGGGTGGGTAAAATGAGAAGTCATCCACTCACTCCACAAACGCTTCTGAGAGTTTACTCTACCAACTGCTAACCCAGTCAATGGCTGTAGCGGGATCCAGACAGGAAATATTCCCTCCAATCTGGGGTGGAAAAACAGCAAAGCGACTACCGCTGTCGAGGCCACCTGTTTGCCTGGCATTGTTCTCTTTGGGTATTTATGGTAATACCAAAGAGAGTCGAGCTAATGTTTTAATAACTTGCTTAAATATCTTTTCATGACGTTTTCATTTAGTTTTAGTTTCCATCCAGCATACTAAGCCCTCTGTTGTCTCGTGCACTGTTTAATGATCTAGGAGTTCTAACAATCACCCCAAGTCTCTAGAGGGAGGGAGACAAACACATAAGTATATATAGCAATATTAGAGTTAGATGTTAGGAAGGAAAACTGCATCCCTATGAGGGGATAGCCGGTGAGGGATGTTCTTTGAGACAGGTAACAGGGGAAGGCCTTGCCAACACCTGATGTGGAGAGACGGGAGTACAAATTTAACCAGAAGAGCTTTCTAGACAAAGGGTCTCCTGAATCAGGATCCTGCCTAGTTGGCATATTTAAGGGGCCACGAGAAGCATAGCAGGGATGGAGAGGTGAGCCAGAACAGAAGTGGTCAAAAAACGTGGGAGCTTCCCTCTGCCATTCAGGCTTGGATTAAAGTTGTTTTCTCAGCCTCAGGCTAAATTAGACCCAGACTCCCAGGGTGTTTAATTTTTCTTCATAGTATGTATGTTCTGGACTTGCTTTTTTTTTCCCCATTGGCTAAAATACCCCCATCCCCACCCCAACTGGAACGCAAGTTCCAAGATGAGTCTGCCTATCTCATTCAGATGCACCCTGAACATTCAGAACTGTGACTGTCAAAAGTCGACATAATATTTGTTGATTGAAAGAATCAAAAGAAAAAGCCAGGAGAAAACTAGTCTACAAACTAGGACCCTTATACATTCCTAAAAGTTATTGAGGATTGCAAAAATTTTGTTTTTGTGGTTTATGTTTGCTAATATTTACCTATTAAAACAATTTAATAAGTCAATTCATTAAGATAATAAATCCATTACATGTTAGCATAAATAGTATTTTTATTAACTGTAATTGTTTCCTAAAACAAAAAATGAATTAGTCAGATGTGGTGGTGCATGCCTGTAATCCCAGGTACTCAAGAGGCTGATGTAGAAGATCCACAGGTTTGATGCCAGCCTGGTCAATTTAGATTCTCTCTAAATTAAATAAATAAAAGGCTCTCCAGCTCAGCACTCCTACGATGAATCCCTAGTACCCCCCAAAACCCCCATAAGTGCTGGAATTACAGGTATGCACCACCACACACAGCTTCTTTTGCAAAAACCTTTAATATCCAATTTACCTAATCCTAATGTAAGTTGTCTGAGAAAGTGGCTCAATAATTCTTTCAGATTCAGCATAAAGCACCCACTTTTGATTTTGTTAAATCTACTTCGATGACAAATTGGCAAAGCACTACATTTGAAAGATAACTAAGAATGAGAAGATGTATGCATGGGTCTGCTATAGTGCCTGGCAACACAATGTGATTCATGTTAAAAAGTCTTTTCATCCGGGTAGAACTAATAGTCGTGGGAAATACCAGTGAGGTGGTGTTAGGTGTAAAGAATGATGTCTCACATTAGGGCAGATGAAAGAGCCTGTGAGATGTGGTACAAACTCCAGGATTTGCTCAGGATAAGAAAAAGCCAACTGGTTGGGAATGGACTACATATTTATTTAATAAATATGACTTTTCTGCAGGTATTAAGCTAATATTTCTCCAGGATGATGGAGAGCACAGAGCTCATGATGGGTAGAGTAAAAGCCACAGACTATAGCTGCAAAGGAGAAATGATTGATAGGCCACCAAACAGAACGTGGTTCTGGAACTCTTCTTCCCTGACCTAGACTGAATTTTGTAAGGGCAAGGACTGTATTTTACTTTGCCCTCCCACTGCAAGGTCTGGCACAAGGTAGGTATAGCAAGTTTGCTGACCCAAAACATTTCCTACTACTTTGACTTCTGAGAGTATGAAGACATCTTTGGATTTACTCTAATCCTAAAACCCTTCAACTGCCAAGGAGTCAAAGATTTGAGTTCATCTGTATCAGACTGTCAGTAGGACACCTAGCAGCAGTTTGGGTCACATGTTGTGAGAGCTGAGAGCTATGTTAACTGCCCTCGTATTTACAATGTGAATTGCCCCTTTATAACAGATTTAGTGGTTTTGTGTGCTCAGGGCCAGGTCTTGCTGAACTTTGCAGATCAGGATTCTTCTAAGTCACGTTCTACTACAGAGTTCATGACCTGTCTCCCTTCTCTCAGTAGCAGTGCAATAGCTTGGCTTACTCTGGTTGATATGAGAATGTACAGAGGCTTCAGTGAAAATTTAAAAAATGTGTTAAGTGCAGTTGCATCCCTTTTGCCCTGCTCCTTTTCAACTTCATGATGCCTTCAACCCCAGCAGTGACCTGGGACTCTAAGGAGACCCTGAAGCCCCAGTGGTGATGGAAAAACCTGGGCCTACGTTTCTGATGGCCCTAGAACTGCCTTTGAGCCTTGGATTCCCTACTTATGTCACCTTTTAAAACTGCTGTGTTCTAAATCATTGCTGCTTTGGATTTTCTCACAGCCATGCCTCGTTCTGGTTGGTAGCTATGGAGAGAACGACCATGGTTCTGAAGATTAGCAAAGCACTTTGAAGTACCTGGCAGCTAGATGCACATGCAATGGCAACTGAACTTCATCTCAACCAGATTAGATAGGCACATGAAACTAGGGACTGTGTTAAAAGCCTTTTGCACCCCACAAATAAAGGGAGTTCTGTTCTTTTATCCCCTCTGAACATGGATACCCAGGGGAACATGTGTTTGCTCACTACTCTTATGTTATTTAAATTCTAAAATATAAAATATATCAAATGTGCCCGTTCACTTTCATTCCCTCTCTGTAAGCCAGTTTAGCTACCTAATATCCATTTTACATGTCATACTGTTTAAAAGTTAAAGATAATCGCAATAAATAGCCCTTTCTGTCAAACATTTTCAAAGTCTTTATAAAGGAGGGGCATAGGTCCTATTCATGAATAATTTAATCCATGTCATACAAAAGTGAAAAAGAGAACAGCTTTGTTCTAAATCTGCACAAATGGGCTTCCACTGATGGGCTGTAGTCCCAGGAGGTGAGCACATAGTTTAAAAGCCCCTCGTATGATCTAGTTTCTTACTGTGGTATTTCAAATAAATCCCACATCTGTTCAAGTCACTGAACTGAAGGCCTTACAGTGCACTAGTTAAACACGCCAGCTGTGGAGATTACCTGAGTTTAACTCTGCTCTACCAGTTACTGGCTCTGTGACTTCACATGTCACTCACTACCCTCACCTCAGGCCTCACTGCCCGCATCTGTTATATGGGATAATAGGACCTGCTTCACTGGGTTACTCTGAGGATTCAACACATGAACACCCTTAGGACAGTGTGTGGCAGACGGTTGATTTCACAGTGGTCAAGTTAGTATTATTTCTTTGTGACTGATTCTTTCAGAAATCACATGCTAGACCACTATTTCACAAACTGGTAAGCTGAGTGCCCTCAAGTGATTATTAGCTTTGACAAAACATCTATATCTCTGTGTCACAATTTCCTTACACAGTACATGTAGTAAGGTCAAAAAAGACAAACTGTTATGATAACATTGCTGGGTTTACAGAAAAAAAAACAAAA